ATCTTTCGAGGTCCCTTCCAACCCCTGACGTTCTGTGATTCTGTGAGCTGCGCTCCTTGGGGAAGGCCTGCTGCTCACTGTATAACTGCGCTGCTTGGTCTCTCGTGCCGAACAGGCAGTGGGTTGGCAGGAGCTGCCCAGCGCATCCTTCCTCCAGTGCCTGTGCAGAGACCCAGCTCTCTGGTTCAGCCTGAGCAGCTGTCCCACGTGGCAGCTGGGATTAGCTAGTCCCTGCAGTAGTGTGTGGGCTTGGTTCTCCATTTCCAGGAGAGAGGAGGTGAGCAGAGTGCTGTGATCTCAAATCCTATTTGTGTCTGTACGTTTGTCTCACTAACAGCTGGGATGTTGCCGCTCAGTAGAAGAACACAAGCAAAGTGTAAAGATGTGACCTGCTGTCTCAAGTGTCTTTGGTGTGTTGGCAACAAGACAAAAAGCAGAGAAAGAAACCCAAAATTCACTTAAGTTTCTAATGGCCTCCAGTTTGGGCTTACAGGGAAGGTATTTGCTTGCCTTGTGCCTGGGTCAATCAAGCAGAACTGTAATCAAAAGATGGGTATTCAATGTGAAAGGGAAAATTTCCATAATAAATTGCCATATAATGCCCTAGCTAGCTACCACCTTGTGAGATGACTCAAAGGTGATCAGCCACAGCTTGCAGTGAAATATTTGGGAAAGGAAAAGTCTCTAACATACATGGGGCAATGAACATTGATCTGGACTCCCAAAACAACTTTGACCCTCTGCCTCTCAGAGAGGAGACACATGCTTCTTCATTTCAGACATATTTCTGCTATGCCAGAAATGGAGATATCCAGCCCACACAGTGGGTTGCTATCAAACGTGCACTGATCAGCCGGCCTGGTGCACAGGATGTTTCCTCTTCAGATGTCTGCTTGGCCTGAGTCCTGGGCAGGCTCTAACTTCTGCAGAAATAATTAATATCTCATCTCTGCCAAACTCGCACAAGTCATTTAAACAAACTAGTTCTCACTGCCTCCCCCCAGAGCCCTGTCTCCGCTTCTCATCCTGATACCTTATCGTGCTATGGACAGGATGTTTTACATTGCTTTCTCTATGGTGACCGGACAAACATCCTTTCACTATCAAAAGCCTTTGGAGCGTTACTGTATTGCAGAGCCTTTGATCTGTGCTTGGATAATCAAAGATAAAAATAGACTCCTCCCACCCGGCTTTATATCTGGCTGCTCCTGATTTAATAAAGGTTGAATGTTGACCACCCTACCCCTGAAAACTTGTCAATGTTATTGCAAAGACTGGGAGAAAGGTTTGGATCCTGGTCACTGAATACAAGATAGACAGTTTGGGTGTTGTCCCAACACAGTCTCAAACTAGTGTCACCAGGAACACCTAAGTGTGTACAGAGTTAGTGTGTGTTCTTCGTTAAAGTCATTTCACTGAAATGATTTTTCAATCATATTGCACATCTCCTTGTGCCCAGGACTCCTGAATCGCCAAATTTGTAGTGAAAATTTCTCTGGTTAAATCTGTCCTCATGTTGAAGGCAAAGAGCTCACAGCCCATCCTTCCAAAAAAAAAAAGGCAGCCTCCATGGGAAGCGCAGCTTTGTGTCCAAGTACGGGTGCTGTGTCATTTTCCGAGTCTGCCCGTTTGGCGGGTGGCAGGAACGTTTTACCATGTCACGTTCACGTCCGAGCTGCTCTCGCACAACGCACGCAAGCGTTTGGCAAAGCAGGTACGCAGCTGGGGGATGAAATTGGTACCAGATGTGCTGGATCAGCACCTTTACCTGGCTTTAGCAGCCAGGGCTTTGGGAGCCAGAGGGATTCACCACATGCTTTCCCTGAAACCTGGCCTGGCAGCGCTGCTCCAGTCTTGCCCCTTGAGTGGGGGGGCCCTTCTGGAGGGCTTTGGGTAGTGGCCCAGGCTGGCCCAAGCCTGGCTGCCTGCTGCGTGGCGAAATAGGGAGGCCTCTCTTGAGAAGGGCTGTCTGCATCCAGCCACATGCACCAGGGGCTTCTGATGCCATGCCAAGGTAAGGAATGACTCCATCTGGTAAAGAAGGCAGAGATTCCATCTCTCTTCTGCAGCATCCTTCTGTGCAGGTGCTGTTACTGGGGTAAGCCACCCTCTGCATTTGTGCTTATTCCTATAAGCAATGTGTTACTCCCAATTAATACCTTTTTCGTTACTTAAATCGCGTCCTATGCCTATGTTGTGTTTCTAGCCAGGTCTTTCATTGTATCTTCTGCAATCTTCTCTTTACAGAGAATCTTAAACCTATCTTTTGGGCCTTCTAGATGGATAATTGAAAGGAGGTGGAAGAGTTTCAGTGAGCATTCGTCTTTTCTCTGCAATTTTGCAGAATCAGGTAGAGCAGTGGGATGCTTCTCATACTAACCTTGAAGGATCACCAACCAGCCTGAAATGACTACAGTAGATCTGGCAATGTTGCACTTCAAGAGTGGAGCAGAAGCTTATAAGAAAATTTTGGCAGTCTCTTAGGTCACTGATTTCTACGAGGAGACTTGGTGGAATCCCAAAGCACCTTCAGTTGAGTTGTGCATTGGTTTGTTTTATTTTTTTAACGGACTGTGCTCTTGGTCTTCAGAATCATCCTCACCCTAAGAATAGTTTGCACGCTAAGGCAAACCTGGTGTCTTTTGAAGTGTGCTAATAACCAGAAGGTAGGTAGAATTGGCTTCCTGCAGCTCCCATTGTGTAGAAGGTTTCCTTGCAAGGTTATACCTACTCCCCCAAAACTCCAGGTGAAACAGCAAGTCGGAGAGGAGAGCCAGGCCTGGATGGATCCGAGGAGCCAGTTAGGGCAACGTGCGCCTGGATCTAAACTGCCCTGGACTGGTTTGGAGCCATGGGACACAAAGGAGACTTCTGATACTGCAGTGAGCAGAGCTTTGTGTGATGGGGGAATCTAATCTCTGATCTCATCTCAGCTTTGAATGTCTTTTTCCATGTTTTTGATGCAAACAACATTCTTCAGGTTTGCTTGTCTTTTTACCTCCCCAACAGTCTGCAGAGTAAATTCGCAGAGGGCAGATGAAGAACTGTTCTGCCTCTAAGATCAAGCCTTTGCTTTTGATGTTTGGTTAGCAGGAGGAGAATGACTTTCCCTGGAGACCTGGATACAAATGGGTCTACATTAAGAAACAAAATTGGGTCGATGGTTTTGGTGTGGTACTTCAGGCCGCATTACAAGATCACTGTACAATAACTCTGCACAGCTTGTGGTTTTCAGGAATGATGAAGAGAAGTCTGAGGGTGAAATACCAGCAGCACAGCAAGTGCACTGCAGGACTGGACTGAGTGTGTTCATAGCTATTCAGCTCTTGGTTTACTGTCTGTTTTAAAAGAGCCTGAGGTAACAGGTAAGGGGCTTCAGGGTTGGATTGAGGTTTGACACCCACTTCTCTAGTAGGTCCTTGTCTGGGTGCTTTTCCAGCACACATCCTGGAGCAGATGCTTTCTGTCCACTCCCTTTTTGACTGAACTGGGACATTGTTGGCCCAGGCTCAGGATCACTGCTTCACCTCTGCCACAGCAAGGCAGGGTCACAGCTTTTCCTGGACGCCTGCCTTGCAGAGGGAGCACTGGTTTGCCCCTTTCAAGGGCACGTGGCATTGCCCAACACACGTCTTGCATGGGCTTGGCAAATTTTAAATTACAAATCTCAGCATTGTGCTGCTGTTTCTTGAAACATTCTTTGCGTTATCATGAATCATTCTGCTGCTGGTGCTGGCTTTGAAACAAGGTCTCTCTCTGCCCTCTCTCATCAGTTGTTGCCCTTCCAGGTCTCTCTCGTAGTAATTCATTTGAGTTTGTTCATCTCTGCAAGGTGAAAGTTGGCTGAACAGACGGGCACATTAAGTCCTAAATAATAACACCAGTTTATTAGGGAGTGCTTTCTATCCAAAAGGTCTAAGCCTTTTCCAGAGGAAGTTGATATTATCTTTTTAATACATTGTGAAACTGAGGCCAATGCCCTCTCTGCAGCACTTGGGATGGAGCACAAGTCCGTGACACCCACCCCAACATCTACTCTGGTCGTTCTTTTCCTTTTATCTGCATCTCCAAGCACACGTCTCCCGGATGGTCCCAGTGCTGCCTTCCGTTACTTCCTTCAGTGGAAAAGAAGGAATCGTGCCCTTTTCTCCAGCACGTATCCTCCATGGTTTCAGTCAGATGTTTGCTATCACATGGCTTTTCTGGCTCTGCGTGCTTCTCCCAGTCGTTGTTCCAGAGGCAGAAAAACATGCTGGAAGAGTTATTGCTTTTCTCCTTTTTATTTGATGTTCTTTGCCTGTCTCTGCAGAGCCATTTAGATAAGGGGATTTATCAAGCTTGAACTAATTAACCCTGGATGCAGGAAGTCAGAGTGGAGTGTTCCAGCTGTGAAATCCTCAGACTTACCCTGAAGCACACATGGGTCTGAAGGAATTTCACATCTCTTTTTCCTTGTCAGCAAATCACTGTGGTGAACTTTTGCTGTTGCCTTACTGGACTTCTCTTGCTAATGTGCCATGAGGGTGGTTTGTTGGCAGGGCTGTTCAGGAACCCAAACTGCATGTACTAGGATCGCGTGCAGCACGGGGTGTCTCTGCTGCCACTTCAAGGTTCCTGTTCCTGGATTTTTTCCTTTATTGAGAGAGAGGATTTATTTTGAAAGAAATCTGGTAATTTTGCCTGTACAAAGATGCTTTAGATGTTGTTGCCAATCACTTTCTCAGTGCAGAACTGTCAGCCAAAGAGTGACCTTACAAAAACAGGAGGGAAGCAGCTACCTGAAAGGTCAAGATAGGAAAAAAAAATGGTTGCTTAGTTGACTGCACAGGGAGTTTGTGCCTTCAGGGCCTTCTCCCCTTGTTTCATGTGGCCATGGGTCCAGTGGGTCTTAAAAAAACAGCTATCCAAGACAGAGCCTAAAAATCTTGGTTTATTTTTTTTGGTGTTCCCTGGCTATGCTTGGTGCTGTCAGACTGTCTGGGAAGAGCAGCAGGACTCTGATCCCAAGTGTGTCCTCCTGCCGGGGTTAAAGAGTGATCCAGAGAGAGCTTCTGAAACTCTGGTCCAGAAGAGAGACCTCCATGACACACATCTGGAAACAGTGAAAAATACGAGGGCTTCCAACAGAATCCAAGCCAGAGGAGAGAAATAACCCTGTGCCTACCTTGAAGTGCCAATCTCTTGTCAGCACTAGCAGAGCTGAAGTGCTGGTTCACATGGGAATCCTTGTATCGCTATGGCCATGAAACGATTTCCCTCCTACGGGCTGGCAGAGGAAGGGCTGGGAGGGAGAGATGTCATTTAGCCATATGAAGATCAGTCACACTTTCGTCCTTGTGAAGAATTGCAGTTCCAGATTTAGTATCTCCTTTTGGCACCAAACCATTTGAAAGTGTCTCTGACTCTGTTGCGGAGGTCAGAGGTGCGGGTAGTGAGTCCCCTGATAATTCCGTGCAGACCTTTCCCTTGAAGGACAAGACCTCTGATAAAAGCGTGAGTCAGGAGGTGATAAACTCCCATGGAGATGTGCTTTGCAGCCTGGAAAGGGTGCATAATTTCTGTGTCTTGGGCTGCTGGGAGAATAGCAGCGCCTTATCTTTAAGGAGTGGAGTGAGCATCGTTCTGTTAATGCCTATGAAGTTTGCAGACACATTTAGTGGTACGTTTTTTTTGCTGGAATTACCTGCTTAGGTTATTTTTTCCTTTCTCCCCTGTGCGTTGCTATGCAAACAGAACTGCTTGCTTCTTTGTGAACCAGACTGGGGAAACAGAAATAGTCTGGGTTAAGGGGGAAAAAAAAAAAAGATAGAAAGGTTTCTGATAGGTTTATTTCAAGGTGGATCGGTTCCCTGGGCCATCTGCGGTGCAGATGCACAAGGAGCTTGTTCCAGCACACGTGAGGCAAGGCGGGTATTGGCAGGGAGGGGACATGTAGTGAGCGAGCAATACCTTGAGCTGCTGTTGCTGTCAAGAGTGTATTGTTGGACCAGACCCAGATACTCTTGGCCTAGTGTACATCAACAGCAGATATGGCCAGTTCATGTTCTCTCTGCTTTGACTGAAATGAAAGCTTGAACCCAATGTAACTTCAGCCCATGGTCATTATGATTTTTTTTCTGTTTTTTCCAGATTGCCTGGCAGGAAGGAAGAGTCATTTTAACCTCTGGACTCCCATATCAGACTGTAAGTGTTCAGAGCTTCTGGCGTTTTTCTGGCTTTGTATTGTTGGATGGTCTGGGATGTGCAGTGTAGAGAAGAGGAAAAGTCAGATATGAATGCAACAGCTGGCTTGGCTTTTTCATGTTTTCTGCACTGAAAGCTACATTAAGGGTCTTGAGAGGTTTGCTGTTCTGAAAGACCAGAGCTCAGGGTGAAATTTGCTTTATACTCAGTACTGCATCGGTGGGGAGGGCGATTGCTCTCCACTGGGGGTGGGGGGTGGAAATCAAGCCAAGCAATCCAGAACAAAGTGTTTCTGTTTGGCCTCGCTGGCAGGTGAAAGGCAGCTCAATTCCCATGCTTTTTATCACAAAGATTCTTGTTTACTGACTGGCTCCACACTGACATAGTTTCAACACTTGAAGACGTTTCTTCAAGCTTGGAAGGGAGAGAATGAAGCCACTAAGCATGGGTCCTGGTGGAAGCTGTAGAGGTTTTGTGTTCCTATAGATACACAAAAAACCCAAAGCAAAACCCAGCCTTACCCTGGGCACCAGATGTTCGGAGCCCTTCACGAGACACACTTCAAAACAGAGTGTGGCGGGAACGTACTGAGTCAGTGGTTGCAATGTCACAGTGCCTGCTGCAGGTCCTTTGCACTTTGTTACTGCCCAAAAATGCATTTGGAAGAGTGAGACTGCTCTGGATTGCACACATGAGGCAGGATGCAGGACTTCTCTGTTACAAACTGTCAATACAAAAGCTCCCAACTACTCAGGTAGCCAGTTGGAGTATTTGCAGAGTGGAGGTTGCTCATTTCTTACATAATAGCTGAGTGTTGAAGAAAACTCCCCCCGTGATGAGACTGCGAGGCAAGTGCAGCCATGTCACACCACAGATTTCTGATCCAGACTGTAGTTCCTTGAGCGTACGGTTGATGTAATAGGTAATTCAGCATCCAGCACAATCTTATTTGGCAAAGCTTTAACTTCAAAGTGCTGTGTAGGAATTGCAAAAGGAAAATAGCTGCTGCCCAGTGTATGATACTGTCCTGGGAAATGTCTGGTTCCCTTTGTTCCTTTGCCTTTAACGCCCTACGCAGGGCCAGGATGGCTCTGCTAGGCTCCTTTACTTGCGTGTAGCTGATCCCACCTCGCCGTGAGCACTCATCATGTTCATAAAGATGTGTCTGGAACTTCCCAGTCCTTGTTCCCAGATACAAACTTCTCTGCTAAATGTGTAACAAACTTCGAGGGACTGTCCACATCAACCACTTCAAATTCGTTGGCCATCAGTGAACCCCAGGCGAAACATGAAGTGGTAAAAACTGCCATTGGACATCATCTCCATCATTGTGCTTTTGCATACTGTGGGGGATCTGGCCAGGTTTCATGTGAAAGCTGTGATTCAATTCCGTTTCCTCGTGCTATCCCTGTCAGCACCGCACCGCCAAATTATAAGTTGAAGAGGACTTGGGCAATCATGTTTCATACATATAAAAATGCTGCAGTGCTTCAGTAGTCTCAGAGCTATTGCAGCAGTGGCTAAGTGTTAAATTGCCAATTGTGCTCGTTAGATCAAAGTTTAGACTGTAAACACATACTAACTCCGAATATTGTTTATAATTAAAAACAAACCAAGTGTGTTAGGAAAAAACCCATGGATCATGATGCATGGAGTGCCTCATTTATTGTCTTTTTGGTTTACGACTTGTCTTTTGAAGCTGCAGTCCCAGGTAGCAGAAGGAAGGTGTTTCTCTGTGAACTGCTCAGAAAAGGCAAAAGAACAGGCCCTGCAGGTTCTGAAGCACTTCAACGTCCAAGTATCCCTGGCAGATATCTTCAGCCGCTGCCAGGTAGGACAAGGCTGGTTTGAGTAAAGTTCATGCTCGCTTGCTGTTTCCTGCCCAGCAGGCACTGCTTCGGCTTTTTGGGTCTTGCACTCAGTGTCCTCTACTTGGTTCCCAAGATTTCTGCTTGAACTTTGGCAACATCTTGCAAAGCTGCGGGGAGTTCTGAGTGTGTTAACATCTGTCAGAAGGGCTGATGACAAAGTCAGAAGAGCAGCAGCACTGCATCTGCAGCCTTGCTAGAAACTCTGCTGGTTTTCTGATTTTTGGTATTTGGCAAGTGTTTTGGCATTGACTATCATGGTTATAGTCTCTTGTTGCTGTGTTCCCTGTCTAGGACACACGCTGTTTTAATTATAAACCGTGTTTAATTATGGCTCTGTGATTCTGATAACACTTAATTACTTTAATAGGAGGATTTTTTTTAGGACTTTTTTTTTTGTTTTCAGAAGCTATTAGGTTAATTCATGTCCATGCTAGTTGATGACTCCAGATTGTGTTTGGCACTGGATATCTGTGGATTGTTGTTAAGAAATTTTAATTGTGTTAGCTCAAATCTCCATCTCTTCCAATTTCACTCTCGTGTTTGTTACAGTAACACGCTGAAACCTATCCCTTCAAAACCTGTAATATAAACCGACTTGCAACTTCAACATCTCTCATCTTATCAGTGTCTAAAGAGAGAAAGAGAAGGAACTGCAAATCTGGCTAGAAAATGAGCTTTCTCTTAGGAATAAGCAAGCCAGCTGAACGCTTCAGTGAAGTCTGGCTCAGTGCCTTGTGGTTGAGCTCGCAGGGTCTCCTGGCCTGGTGGAACGGCACAAGTGTTGTAGGAATAGCAATGGCTCCTGAGCAAACACACCAGAGGGCATTTTCTAGACCTCTGCTTGTGTCTGATGCCGGTTGTTGAAACTGTATCTGTAACTTCTAGCGAAAATGAGAGTTGTCCAGCTGTGCAGGTTGTCTATAAGAGGAGAATGATGTAACACAGTGCAGATGGGATTGACATAACATGGGTTGATCTTACTTCAGGATAAATGTATATATGCAGATATAAGATATGGCATTCAGTCTTGTGGTTTTATTGTTCCGAGAACAGATTGCAGTTGTTATATAGTGGCATGCTGGCTTCTTTGCTATTTTAAAAAAGCCCTTAAAAAACTTTATGGATTCTCCAGTTCCCTGAGATCACATAAAATAGCAGCATTCTTCCTCATGGTTGTTGAAATACCACAAGAATAAGCACACACACAAAACCGTGCTGCAGAAAACTCTGTGATATCTGTAAGAAACGCAAAAGACTCAGCAGCATACGAGATAAAACTGACCCCTTGCCCATGACCTGGAGTCTGGAACTGTTTAACTATATGGCTTTTTAGTACGTGCTGTCTTAGTTTACAGTATAAATAGGGGTAATCAATCTGGCTAGGAATATATACTAAGTGTTCTCTTACTTCCAGGAGAAATGCCTTCCCTGTAAATTGTGGTGGTGGAACAGCTGCATGTTTTATACCATTAGGCATGGGAAGATGCTATTATTTGTCAAACTGCTCTGTGTTTCTGAATCATGTATTTACCTGCATTTAAGGCTTTGGCATTTTGGAGCTGATTTTATTCAGCTGTCCTCTACAGACCGTCCCAAGTTTTGCTGAGGTGTTACTGTTGCTCTGGAGGAGAATCCCAGCTCTCACTGCTGCGCGTGTCCCGCAGACGCCTGGCCGGTTACCCGGGAGCGCTCGGCACCGCGGCTCTCCATCGGTCTGTGTGCGAGGGGGAGAGTGGCGGGGCG